TGCCACGCCATCTGGTCACCTCCGGGGCAGGCGGGAATCGAACTCATGCGGAAGTGGCTGCAGCTTCTTAGTGCTGTGCTTTAACCCGCTGCTCCACCAGGGAGGGCCAGAACAAAATTTTTTTAAAGATTTGTTTTATTTATGCCTATAAGAACTGGGGTACAGGTCAGAAGTGTAGGAGCGGTGAGAGGATTCACCAGAGACAGAGTGGGGAGCAGAATAGGCAGATTGACCAAAATATACTTCTGAGGAGAAGCAGTGGGTGAGACAAGAGAAGTCTGCTGCGCCCTGTGTGTCAGCTCCCTGGCCAGGGATCGAACTCGTGCTGCAGTGGCTGCAGATAGCTTCATAGTTCTGAGATTTAACTCCTTGCAACACTGAGGAGCCCCTTCCCCCTCACTCACCTACCCCCACCAAGGAGCTAGCTAACTCATATGGCACAGCAGATCTCTCCTATCTCACCTGCTGATCCCCTTAACAGTACATTTCAGTAAATAAGCCTATTCTGCTCCCCACTCTACCTCTGGTGAATAATCCTCTCACCACCCCGCACCTCTGGCCTACACCCCAGTTCTTGCACACAGAAGGAAGAAAGGAAGGAAGGAAGGAAGGGAGGGAGAGAGGGAAGAAAAAGTGCAGCTCTTGAAAGGCAGATAGTGCCCCTAAAGATAAAGGCCTCTGGAGAGATAAGAAGAAAGTTCTTTACTTCCTGATCCTGAAAACATTTGCTTATACTCCTGAGTAATAAACCTAGTAATTCCTCCCCCTCAGTCCTGGGGGAAGTTCACTTAAGCAGTCACCTTTCTCTCCAAAGGGAATAAAGGGCATATTTGCCCAAAGCCCCAATTTAACCTAAATCTCATCATTTGAGGGCTCCTCTCCTGTGATGCAATTCACTGCAAGCATCAGGGTAACATCTTGTTCTCTCTGCATCAAACTCTGGGGGTCAAGGGTCAGAACACTGGGGCTAAGGTACTGCTCTGGCTGCTGAGCTTTGCCTTGAGAAAGAAACCATCTTTTTCTGAACCAGAAAGCCTCCTCTCTGAATACAAACAAACCCTTGCAAGTCCAGCAACTCTCAGACCCTTCACCATTTCTGACTTAACACATTTATAAATAAAACAAAAAGTCCTGCAGTCCTACCAGTCAGAGATAGCCAAGATTATCATTTTGGTGTCCATCCTAAATTTCCTAACTTTCTCTAATGCACACCTACTACTTTTGCTTTTTAAAACTGTAACAAGTTTCACTTTTTTTTTAAGAGGAGACAACATCTATGAATCTAGGGAATCTTGCCAGACAATCTGGGAGGTAGAAAAATCTGGAAAAGAAAGGTTTAGATTTAAGAGTCATCGGAGGAAAGACTAAGGGGGAAACTAGTACATGTAATAAAAAGAAAAGAGAAGCTACAAAGAATACACTTCAACTCCAACAAAGACTGAAAAGGAAGCTTGCCAAGGGCCCAGAGCCAAGACCCAGCTGGGAATTACTGAAAGAAAGCTTGTCTCATATACCAAGTTGGACATATGGAAATGTTTTCGATTCATACAAAAGGTAAAAGCTAATAGAGCATCAAAGTCTACCTACAAATCATCACAAAGAACCCTTCAAGAACTGCAAAAGGACTTTTCTGGAAAGGAATAAATTAAAACATACCCTTATGATCCTGGCAGCCTCCAAAAGAATTCGACATCGCTCCATGCCAGATTTTTTACTCCATATTTTAAAAGCAGCCTTTGCATCTTGAACAGCCAAATTTACTTCCTTTTCTCCAGAACATGAGAAAGTAGCTATCACTCGCCCTAAAAAAAAAAAAAAAAAAAGTCAAGGTATCAAGCTATTGGCACTTGTTTAAATAACAAAGGAACTACTCAAATCTCAAATACCCTATAACACATCTCTTTGTGTTTCAATAAGGTTTGGCTCCATGGCTAGCCCCATTCCTGCAGTTCTTAACTCACATTAAGGTCACTGAACCCTTCAGGAATCTAATATAAATTGCAGACTTCTCCAGGTAAATGTGCTAAACCTCATGACAGAATTACGTTATACCAGGAAGCCAGATTAAGAAATCCTGCCCTCCTCTATTCTACAGCTGGGTTTACTAATGTGAATTTCCTGTTAATGACTTTGTGAAGCTTCTTAACAAAGCTTGAGAATTTCGGGAATCTTGCAAAATGAAATATGGTTATTTAAAAGCAGTATCAGGAAAGGCTAGCCCTAAAAACAGGACATTTACATTTTCTCAAATGTAAAAAATCCCAGTCTCTCCTTTCCTTACTCCAATTTTATTCCCTACCCTATTCTGGGGGAAAATATGAAATAATCCATTTTTTTTCTAGTCCCCTATCTGACCAAAGGAAATCTACTAACATGAATTCTTTATGTCAAATGAGTAGTTAGCTTCCCCTCTTAACAAGAACTGGAGCTTTTTCAGAGCTCAAAAAACTTTTCTTTTCATTATAAACTTGAATAAATAGCCAGTAAGTAAGTGCAGTGATGAGGGATCACACACAGTGTAAGTTATTAAAATAAAAAGCAGTTTTCTTTTCTTTTCTTATCCATGTAGGAGTTGGGGCTAAGAGGCTATTTCCTCTTGCATATGGGAGGATCCATGACCTCCGTGGCGCCTTCCTGCTGTGGTTTATCTGAAAGTCCATCCCAGAGCTCGCAGTCCTTTGCAATTCAGTTTATCTTTTGGTTTACGGGGCTGTTCTGTTTTACACAAAACATTTACATCTTTCTTCCCACAAACATTTCATAAAACCTTGCAAAGCAAACACAACATAAAACAAAAACAAAACCCTCTTCTTGATTAGCTTTGGGATCTTAGAATCCCACAAGCTTCGGTTCTAGGAGCAAATCCAGGGCCCTGCACTGCACCCACACATTGAACACTGAATACATGCAGGACTTCTCTTTTTCCCAACTTGGGCTCCGTACAGAAATATTTATTTTAACACTACAGGGTGACAACAAAAGTCCTCATTCACGCTCATTAGATGTAATCTGTGCACGGCCCTGCGTGCACAGCGGGATACCGTACAGCTGCCCTGGCTCTCAGTATAATCATTAGCAGCGGCCGGACCGAACGCAGCAGAGCCGTGAACTCTACCCCAAACAGCTGGCCGGCCTCCCCGTCGCCTCCCTCCCGATCCCGTCCACCGCGTTCGTGTTTGCACGAAACATGGGCTGCTGCCTATGCGGCTTCACGCTAACCACCACCGCTCACCCGTGTCAATACACCTTTGCCAAAGATGCCAGGCAGCGGAACACGCGATCAACCGGGAGCTGCCCCCCGCCCCCCAGGACTCCGCTATGCGGTCCCCGCCCCACGACCCGCTGCCCGGCCCCTGTGGGTCCCCCAGCCCCGCCGAGTCCTCCGCAGCTGCGGCCGCCGCCCAGGCCCGGCCCGTTACCCGTGGCCGGCTCGAACGCCTTCTCGGAGCCGGAGGCGTCCGCTGGAGTCACGCGGGCCCCGCCGCGGTAATTGAGCGGCTGCGACACGACGAAGGTGCCAGTGCTCATGGCGGCGACAGAAGCAGGCCGAAGAGCCGGGAGAAGCCGAGAGGACGCGGCCAAGCTGTTTCGGAGAAACATGGACGTGCAACACGGTGCGGGTGCGAGAGTGGGGGCCCAGCGGGGCGTTGGGGAATGGGAGTGGGCGGGGCCATATGCCGGGGGCGGGGCCTAGGGCGGAGGAGTTAGGGAGCTAGAAGCCCGGGAGAGGGCTTCCCGGCGAGCCTGGGAGGCTGGGGTCGCTCGGCGGCACCTCGGGGGTCCAGGTAACCCAGGTGCGGCCCGCGCTCACCCGGAAGATGGGCGACTCACTAGGGTGTCTGTCCGTCTGTCTGCCTCTCTTTGGCGAGGGATGGGAAGAGGGGGCTTCTTTTCCCAGCTCTTCTCTCCGTAGTTGGACACGTCTTTGCTGATCGGCCGCTGAGGATGGCACTTGTAGGTCTGCAGCAGGCTGACAGTGCCCAAACCGCCTTTGGCGCTACTTGGTTCTAAAGCTGCTGTTTCTTTCTTTCTTTCTTTTTGTTTTTAAGATTTATTTATTTATGCATTCAGAACTGGGGTGCAGGCCAGAGGTGCAGGGGCAGTGAGAGGATTCACCAGAGACAGCAGAGTGGGGAACAGGACAGGCAGATGGGCGAAGTACACAGCTGAGGGGGGCAGTGGCGGGTCAGGAGAAGTCTGACGCTCCATGTGGGTCACCTCCAGGGCGGGGATCAAACTTGCACTGAAGCGGCTGCGCTAGCTTGCAGTGCTGTGTCCTAACCCGCTGTGCCACAAGCGAGGGCCCTAAAGCTGCGGTTTCTTTTTCTACAAAACTTTTCATGGCTAAGTCGAGGGGCAGGATTGCCAAGGAGACATAAGGTATCGTGAGGGGAGTGTGTGTTTTGAATTTTGAATGTGCAGTGTAAATGGTATTGCTGACAATGGTAAGCCCTCATCAGAGATGGGGGCTGGCTGCTGCTGCTGCCTGCACTCCTAATCCCTAGCCCAGGAGCCACGTCTCACGCTGGCCTCCTTGTCTTTCTTTTTTAAAACTTATTTATTTATGCAAACAAGAACTGGGGTACAGACCAGAGGTGTTGGGGGGTGAGGGGATTCACCAGAGACAGACTGGGGAGCAGAGGAGGCAGATGGACTGAAATACACTGCTAAGGAGTAGCAGGCTAGCTAGACAGGAATAGTCTGCTGGGCCATGAAGGGCAGCTCCCTGGCTGGGGGATCGAACTTGTGCTGCAGTGGCTGCAGAGAGCTTCATAATGACCCGCACTTTAACTGTTGCGCCACCAGGGAGGGCCCCTCCTTTTCTTTCTTAACTCCAGACACTGCGCCAGACTTCCATGAGCAGAGATTAGTTGTAATTTGACATTCCTTGATTTCCTCTAGGCGTGTTTCTCTTCAGGGGGCTGCAGTATCTCACCCTGTTTTCTCCTTACCTGTCAACAGATGCCAGGAAATGTTTTTCAGGATTTCAATTGAAATAACCCCTCTGGTCAACTTCGCTAGCACTCTCTGCCAACTATGAGCCCCCTCAATCCCCTGAGTTGGTTGGCTTTGGTCCTGGAATGGAAACAGAAGTACTTAAGCCAAGTGGGACCAAACTCAGCTGTGATAAGATTGAGGATGTCCCAAAATCTCAGCAAAGGACAGAAGTTACAGAGGATTCGGCAGAGAGAATAAAATAGAGGAAAGGAAGATGAACATGAAGAGAAAGATGGTGAGCAGAATATGGGGGCAAGGGAAACAAATGTGTCCTTTTGGTTATTTTGGTTTTGTTTCGTGGAAGAAGAGAGGCAGGAGAGTCTAGGAATATAGAAAAGTAATGATTCCTGCTGTGGTGAGGTCTGTGCCCTCTTGCGCAACCACTGGGAGCCTCCCATTGGCCGCGTTTGCGTAGCCATTCTCAGCGTAGTCCACTGGCCCTCGCGCTCTTCCTTCCAGGGTGCAGTGGACTGGAGGTTCCAAGAATGAAAGCAATTTGTTCCCCAGAGTCGGCTGGCCACTAGGGGGCAGCACACTCCTAGCAGTACATTTGAGAAGCTGGAGAAAGCTACAAAAAGCAAACTCTTACAACAAAGAAGGAATTTCAGGAAGTAGGCCTGCAGCTGCAAATATCTAATACGTTTTTGAAATCTTGACTGCGAATTTGCATTTTCCAGTGCCCCCAAACCTTTATGATAGAAATATTCCTGCACCAGGGGGCAGCAAATAGTAAGATCCAGAATAAAGGCTGCATGGGGGGGGGGGGGGGAGGTGGTGGTAAGTGCCTGAATTCCCCTCTTGTAGCCCACCTTGAATTGCCTCTCTAAATCATTACCCTTACCTGAAAGCCATCTCTCTGTTTTCCCAAGCGTGTGGACTTTATTCCAATATCTGATTCACATCCATACAACTAGGGTAAATCCTAAGTAGACTAACTCAACCAGGGTTATCTTTTATTTTTAAAAAGTTTTACTGAGATATAACATTATATTGGTCTCAGGTGTACAACATGATGATTCTGTATTTGTAAAATGATCACAATAAGTATGGTTCCACCTGTCACCACACAAAGTTACATTTTAGTACTTACTTTCTTGGCAAATTTTGCTTATGCTCTACAGCATTATTAACTATAGTCACCATGATGTACATTACATTCCCATGTCTTATTTATGAGAGAAAGTTTGTATCTTTTTTTTTTTTTTTTAAAGATTTATTTATTTATTCATACAGAACTGGGGTACAGGCCAGAGATGCGGAGGGTGAGAGGATTCACCAGAGACAGAGTGGGGAGCAGAACAGGCAGATCGACGAAGTACACTGCTGAGGGGAGCAGCGGGCGGGTCAGGAAAGGTCTGCCACGCCATGTGGTCACCTCCGGGGCAGGCGGGAATCGAACTCATGCGGAAGTGGCTTTAGATTCTCAGTGCTGTGCTTTAACCCGCTGCGCCACCAGGGAGGGCCAAAGTTTGTATCTTTTGACCCCCTTCACCTACTTTATTCATCCCCCACCACCTGTCATTTCTGGCAACTGCCATTCTGATCTCTGTGGCTGTGAGTTTTGTTTATTTTTTTTAGGTTCCACATATAAGGGGAATCATACAATATGTCTTTATCTAACTTATCACTTAGCATAATTTCAGTATGTTCCATCCATTTTGTCACAAATGGCAGGGTTTCCCTTCTTATGACTAATATTCCATTGTGTATATACTCATATCTTCTTTATCCATTTATCTTTCAATGGGTACTTAGGTTGTTTCCAGATCTTGGCTATTGGAAATAATTCTTCAGTTAACATGGTTAACATGGGTTACATATATCTTTTGGTTATATTTTTGTTTCTTTACCTAAATGCCCAGAAGTGGAACAGATATAAGGTAAATCTGTTGTTACACTTTTCAGGAATTGTCACACTGTTTTCCATGGTAGCTGCACCAATTTACATTATACCAAGAGTACAAGTGTTCCCTCATCTCCATGCCCTACCAAACATTTCTTTCTTATCTTTTTAAGCTAAGATGTACTTGTTGGCCATTTGAGTATCTTATTTGAAAAAAAAAAAAAAAGCCTATTCAGACCTGCCCATTCTTTAATCAAATTGTTGCTTTTGTTAATTGAGCTATGTGCATTCTTTATATATTTGGGATATTAAATTTTAGGTATGTGATTTGCAAGGATTTTCTCACTTTTCAGTCGGTTGTCTTTTAATGATTTGCTTTACTGTTGAGAAGATTTTCGTTTGATGTCATCCCACTTATTTTTGCTTTTGTTGCCTTTGCTTTAGTCAGTTACGTTCATTGCTACAGTTGATGTCAAGTAGCTTTCCACCTGTCTTCTTTTAGGAGTTTTCTGCCAATCAGGGTTGTCCTATTCCCCTTAGCATTGGTGGGTTAGATATGGGCACTGACTTCAGTCTAGCCAATGAGCATAGGAGAGATTGTCCTGGCTCTTTAAAAAGGCCCCCCAAATAAAACAAGTCCCTTCCGTTTTCATCAGTAAGGAAACTGGGTTTGCCAAAGCAAAGAAAGGGTTCATTAGAAAGTTAAAGAAAGGTAGGAAGATCATTTCTTTTATCTCATTGGGTGGGGGAAGCAGTGAAAAACTGCTGGACACTCACAGATGGGACAAGCTGCCATTTTCAAGCCCTGTGCAACTTCAGGTTGAGTCTGAGCTGTGCCTGGTGTCCTCTTCTCGCCTCGGCCCACCCTCTCATCTGTCCGCTTTCCTCAGGTGGAAAGATGCTCTACTAGCTCAAGAGGCTGAGCCCCAGAGAACTGTTTTTGCCACTCACCCCCTTTTCTAGTCTCTTCTAAGTCACACAGTAGAGAGATGCAGCTGGCTGGCCCCAGGAAACCTATGTTCCGGATGCCATTCATCAGTTCAGTGACAACTCACCAAAAAATATACAAACAAGCTTCGGACACTTTCATTTTAACTTAAAGCATAAAATACATACCCATTTCCTTTTCATGGTGGGCAGCCTTTCCTGGAGCAGGAGTCCACTGTACAGTGCCACTGGTTTCTTCTGACATAAGCCAACCCTAAAATGTATCCCCTTATTTGTTTGTATTGGGGAGATTATGGTTAGTCAGGCTTTTGTACTTCATCGTGACTGACACTTTTTTCCAAGGAACCCTTACTTTTGTTTACTTTTTAGCAGTAATATGGCTGAATCCAACATTTACAATTCAAATAAAATTTCAAAATTGGAACAATGTAAACAGAAATTATGTGATGAAAATGCTGTTTCTCGTGATGCTTTCTAAAATGTCTTTAAAACCACCATGAGTACTTCATCCACTCTGATTCCCAGTTTTGGTTTCTTTAATAGGGAGAATGAACTAAAACAGTAGGCAAGAATAAAAATGCTGGCTCTTTCTACATGTTTACTACCTCTGTTCATTTCGCCCACATAAAATGAAAACAATTATTTTTAGCAACATCCTTTTATTGACTCCTTCAACCCATTCAAATTAGCTTTCATAGGAGCAGTCCTCTTTTTGTACTCATCTTATTAATTTACATAATCTTTAGATATAATGAATTAAGCAAGGAATGTTAGACAATTCACTGGTGAGGGCTGGAGCACACAAGCTCAGCACACAAGTGCCAGTGCCGCAGGCGTG